ATGTATATATATCAATATAAAGCATATGAATTTCATTCCTACTATAATATTAAGTGAATATATGTTTTTTTTTATTATAAAAAATTGCATATATTTTTTATAGGATGAATAAATTGAAGTGAGAAATATTGAGAATATTAGTGGGACGCGGTTTCGGCACTAATAATATGGTGGCTACGCCAAATGGAACCATAATAGTTGGAATCAAAGAGAGAGCATGTCCTAATAATTTCTATCACCGATTGCGTCCACAACTGTTGCTATATTAATTCTAAATATATCTACTTACATTTTTTTTATTAATGAAAATTATAATATATCAATTTGTATATATTATTTCAAAGTTCAAATCTCATGATTTGAAAAATTATGATCTTAAAAGAGTGATTTTATTAAAACTAGCCACTTAAATTTTCTAAAACTAATTGTTATGTTTGTTTATGCCTCTTTATCTTGTAATTACAATTTACTAATCTTTAAACACGATAACTATGTGCGTCTCAATTTATTTTTCATTTTGTTGAATGCGAATTTGAAAAGAAAAAAAACTCTATTGAATCAAAAGCAAAAAGGTCATGTTTTTTTTTTCTTCTTCTTTATTTTATGTTAGTTTAAAAAGTTAAGTTAAACTCAACTTAATTTTTTAAAATTATAATTCAAATATATGTACTAAATTATTAACAAAATTGATAGATATTTCTCATTAATAACATAGTTATTATAAAAAAGTAGTTATCTAACACACACTTTATGTTCTGATTATTTTTAATTATATATGTTTGTATTTTGTAGTTGTGAGATATTTCTCAGAGTTTAACTTAATCTTGTCAAATTATTCTCCTAGACCCATTTATAAGCGGAAAAAAATGCTTAAATTATATAAATAAATTGTATTGAAATCAATTTTATTTAATGTTTTTAATTCAAAAATAGTCCTATAACAATAAATGAGAACATTTAATCTGTTTGAAATGATTTCTATTTGCTTATATATAAATATAAATTTAAAGAAAGTAATTTATACACTTATATAAAATTTGTTTATTTATTTTTAGTGAATGTGAGACTCATGTTTTTGTTAAGAATGTTTACTTATTGTATATTTAAAGTTGGAATTGATTGTGGGTGCAGCATTGGATGATTGGAAGTAATTTGGTTAGGTAGCTAGAAATTCCAGAAATTTAGAAAACCGATATTCAATTATTTGGTGACAATAGTCTCTTGAAAGCGTCATTGGTGTCGCAACATTCTGCTAAGATCTAAAACAAACCTTGTTGCTTTCTCCCTATCTTCTGCATTGCTATGTTCAATGTATTTTTCCCCCAAAACATATCTTTCTTTATTTTTTCTTCCTTTTCTTTATCCATGCCCACCACACACATTTCTTTTTTATTGTTTGAAAACTTCCACAGCTTTTTTATTTTATTTTTAAAATAAAATATTAATGAAAAAGGTCTGATAAAAATTAGTTAACGAGTAAAATTGATAAATATTTTAAGCTAAATAAAAAGATAAACACACGCCCCTATGATGTTAATACACAACTTTTAATTATCTCTTTTTGGTGTAACATCTTTTAATTTTCAACACAACTTGAAGTGCCAAATAAAGTATGTATATATTTATTGGACTTTTGTTGGGGTAGCAATAGCATATAGATTTGGGTATACATGATACACTTGTTATACACAACGGCCCAAAGCTAACTTTCTATTTGGTGCACAATACTTTGGGTTGGTAGTAAATATATATCATTTGTTATGCTCCAATTTCAGAGTCTCAGGCAATGCTTCAGTCCCACTTTTGCCCCCTTCTTTTTTCTTGATAGCTACAATTACAATTTCATCTTAACCTAATTAATAGACCAAAATAAATGTAATTAAATTTATATGGTTACATTCATTTCATTATTATTATTATTATTCTTGCTGCTTTGGAGGTGTGACAGGACGATTAAATATCTTACATCATCATCACACTTCTAAATAAAGATTAAAACAGGTGTCAATTATTCATAATTTTACTCATATGCATTATTACTAAAGTATTAGTTGAAAGTTAAGTAGATATAAGATTCCATGAGGAAAATAAGACAGTTTCGGAAAATAAAATTGTTCATTTGTCAATACTAACGTGAAAAGGGCCAAAACCACATAAATAAAATGATGCAACAAAACAGCATAATTGGAGTGCGAGTTAAATGACTTAGAAATTAAAGCTTTAAGTGGCCAGTTACTGAATAAAAAGAAAAAGAAAAAATAGTAATAACTTTTTTTTCTTTAAAGATCTTAATAGTGAATATATATGTGCATGTCATAATAATAATAATTACCATGTGTGACTTAGTTAACAACCAAAAATACTGTCTGGGTGGACTTAGCCTATGAGGCAATCATGGCAAAAATTATCATACGTGTGACACATGTAAGTATAGATTAATCACAAACCCAGAAAAAATGTAATATAATTATTAGAATAATTTTTCAAAGTTTTAGACGTATAAAGTACGCGGATAACGTAAAAACATTCATACCAAACGAATTTTACCAGTGGCCTAATATCTGTTATCTAATATTTAGTTCCGAAAAACATTATTTCAAGCGGTTATGAAAATATTTTTGTGTCATTCGCTATTTAGTGTTTTTTTAATAGATAAATTTCTCTATGAATATTTTTATGAAAAAAATGTTCTCATAAATTAGTTTATACATAATAATTTGTAGAAGCTCTCTTATATTAACTTTTCTTGAAACTCTTTTAACTTATGCATAAATTAATTTTAACAATGAAAGAATTTATTAAATTATTTTCTTCCTTTTATAAGTATTTATAGAAAAGCTTATTCAGATGGATTTTTAATGCACGTGAATAATATTCAAGAATCAGTTTAGTCCCTCAAAATCAAAAACAAAAATAATTATTTGTTGCTTTGTCTTAATGATGAAAAACTAATTGATTATTGAACAACTCCATATTGTGCAATTTCAGCAAAAATAGACAAAAATAAATAAAAGAAAGATGACCCTTTCTTGATAAAAAGAAGAAGAAGAAGATTCTCCTGGAAATTGCAGTCTTTCTGCTCCTGACGAATGAGTAGATAATTGAAATTTTACTAAAAGCATGAAGCATCATTTGGTATTTGACAAAATGTTCCAAACATAAATGTGGTTTAGTTAAACGTCAACAAAGTTATCTTGTGCAAGTAGGAAACTTGAAAGTTGCAAGTTGGTATTTGTTGTTTTATTGGATTGGATTGGGCATAATATGTGCAACTTGTAATAATTTAAAGGCACAAATTGCCATTTTCAAGGCACATTGCCCGCCATTCGGGATATCTCATTTCCTCTATCAACGGCTCATTGTTCTTTGCCTTGTCACTATCAATCCGTTCATCACAATCTACACACTATTAGGTTCAATTAATATGCATGTTATTTCTTACTTGACAGTGAAACAGAAAATAAAAAGGAAGAATAATAACACTCTAATGAAATAGTCAAAGAAGAATGTACTCAATGTAGGTTGGAGCATTAGTTAACTCTGGTATTATTTAACACAACCTTTTAGAGCTTAAAAAATAAGCTTTTAGGACAACATTTTTGTAAAAAACTCGTAAACCATCTCATCTATTTTTCATTCTTAGTATGTATTTATGTTAGTTGTGAAAAATAGATTGTTTAAATAATTAACGGTAGATATAATTACCAGTGTTACAACCAATTGTATGAAATAAATTTTATATTTGAAAGTGTTAGATGGAAAATAATTTTAAGACAATCTATTTTGTTTGAATTGTGTGAAATAATTATTTTTATAGTAAAATTACGAAAAATGAATTTAAAATATTTATAGTAAATGGTTTTATATTTCAAATAATCAATCACCTGAAAAAAATTAAAAAATGAAGTTAATTAAAAGTTAATATGTTATCCATTAATCACAATCTTCAATTCTTTTATTTGAGCAAATATGTTTGTAATAGAAATAACATAATATTATAATCTGATTTTGATCACTAGCTTCAAACAAAATAAAAGAGAATTATAAACAATCTTACGAAAATATTATAATCTATACCGATTAGCAAACATTCTAAATGATAACTTTAAACAGTGGTCCTCGTCTTCGATTCTTCGGTGGTCAAAAGACTTCAAGTGCAGAAAGAATAAAGCCTCAGAACCAGAATATCAATACTAAGATTATTCCCAGCAGTTATATTATAGCTACAAAGCCAGTTTTTAAAACTGAGGCAAGGTTATATTGCACCAAGTTTATTTATTCATTGTAGCATCATATTTCCATGGTGATTGGTGGAGTTTTCGGCTTTTTCTCATGACACATGGAAAAATAGGAATAACTAGTAAAAATTTTCTTGCTGGCAAAAGGTATCTCCAATGATAATTTATTCGGCAGGAAAATGTGGAGAATAGTGAGAAAAAAGATTCTTTCCTTGATGACAGAGAAATAGTGAGGAAGAAGACTTTGGCTGTGTCTCCTTCATTTAAAAACTGTTTAAAATAATGCCATTAAACATTTTTTTTCTTTCTTTTTCCTTAAAAACTTCAAATTTTTATTTTATAAAATAGTTTTGAAAAACTAAGCTAAAAAAACACAATAAAAAATATCCAATCTTCAAGAAAATAAAAGGAGAAAAAAAAAAGAAAATGAAAATCAGATATCCAGTTTCCACAATCAGATCAATGTCAATGGGCTGCTATAAATGGGCATCTAACAATATTCACTGGGCTTTAGTCGATTTAAGACCACTAATTCCATAATTTGAAAGCTTAATGCATGTTGTGAAGTTTGCTTTTGTGTATCTTGTAGTTTTATTATTTTCTTAACTTGATCCTTTTTAATTTGTGAACTCGCTGCACAAATTAGTTACTTTTGGAAAACAAAATGATTTGACAAAATGCCTAAGCAGCTTTTTAGTGGATTGTTTTTTGTACCTGGTAACCATGTTAACTTTTAATGATCCATAAAAAAAAGTCCACAACGAATAAATACCACCTTCATGTACACATTTTAAGTCAGTATGAACATCAAAACCAATAATATTAATGGTGAAAAATAAGCTAAAACAAATTCTACCTTTCGATCTATAATGTCTCGGTCCAGGAAAAGCATATGCTACTACAGTTTTTAACTTTCAGCATAAAAATAACAATCTGAGATCTGTAGAGTAACACCCCGCCCTCCAAGGACATAAACACAGAGGGCTTCACTTAGATGATTGAAAACCTCATCCTACGCAACAGGGATTGCTTACCGAAAATTTTCAACCTCAAAAGCACAAGCTGTTCCATCAATTGAGGCCGAGACAAGGTAATCCCGATTAGCAGACACAGAAAGAGACTGAATGCAATCAGAGTGCCCCTTGAATGTTTTTACACATTCACCAGACCGACTATCCCACACTCTCACTTTACCATCCACACAACCAGTAGCCACATATGATGCACCAAGCCATGCCAAACATGTCACTCCATCCTGCCCACAAGGCAAAATTCCTTTATATCATCATATACGAGAACAAAAATTGAAAATTTCATGCCAATGTATAATTGCAAACAGAACTCATTTTGTCTCTAAACGCACAAAACAAACATGACACTTTGGACAGAACAAGATTCCAACAAACCTCGTGTTCACAAGTGCCTCGGGGTAATAAATGCTCTATATCCCAGATGATCAGATTTTTATCCATGCCTCCAACTGCCGCCCAGGAACCACTATCATAAATTTTAAGGGAAAAAATTATTCATGGCTCGCATCAAATTTAAAAGAACAAACTATTCATAGTTCCCCTTGTATAAGCTATCCATATTTAAGCAAGGTTGGGGTCATTTTGCTGTCAATTATTCCTTAGAAATAAGTAGAATTATTTATACAAACAGAATTTATACAATAAGCCAGTCACTGAAGGTTAGGTGAGTCTAACATAATAACATTTCATGATTCTTGAGTCACGGCACTTGAATTTTATTGGCTTAAATGCGTTTTTGGTCCCTCGAGTATAATAGTTGTGCGATTTTAGTTTCTCAAATTTAAATTGAGCGACTTGAATTTTATTGGCTTAAATGCGTTTTTGGTCCCTCGAGTATAATAGTTGTGCGATTTTAGTTTCTCAAATTTAAATTGAGCGATTTTAGTCTCTTAAGTATCATAATTATGTAATTTTTGTCTCTATAGTACTGTAATTGTGTGATTTTAATCTCTTAAGTATTGCAACTATACAATTTTTTACCTATTTAAGTTACATATATTAGTAATTTCAGTAATAAAAAATATATATCATTTAATGCATAAATGAAAATGATAATATATGTAATTAAATAGGTCAAAAATAGTATAATTGTGAATCTTAATGGGCTAAAATTACTTAATTAAAATCTGAGGAACCAAAATCGCACGAGTACAATACTTAAGAGACAAAACTTGCTCAATTTGAATCTTAGAAACCAAAATTGCATAATTTTAATACTCGAGAGATTAAAAAACGCAATTAAGCCAATTTTGTACCTCTTTATAAAAAGAAAAGCCTTATTTTATTATGTCTATAACCAATAAGACTATAATTTTGGCTGTAACATTATATTGGTGGACTTATGACCACAACCCCCCCCCCCTGTCTTCAACAACCCGTGTCCAATAAAATTTCCACCGTGCACATGAATACAAACCTTGGTGCGAATCCAACACACTCTATGGAATCTGAATGAGAAGCAAGAGCATTATTATCAACAACCTGTCAAACATGAAACTCAACGTTTCTTAGAGACAAAGCAGAAAGCTAATAAAATCTGTAGCATGCAGAGACAACGGAATAATTAGGATATGCAGTCTCACTTACAACAGTATAAGACAGGCTATATTATAGAAGGGCGTAATTTTTTTAGAAAAAAAATGCTTTCATAAAACAGAAAAAAAGGTAGTGGAATTAAGTTGAAGACCGTCTCAAACTCATCATCTAGCTAGGTTACAAAACTGCCAAGTTGAATTTCTAATTACAGTCAAATCAAGCATCACTCAGACTAGTCTTACAATTGTGAAAATTAAATTATGACAAACTGACAACATAGTCTGAAACCAGTCTTGCTGAACGTTCTTCAATTTGTGATTCCCATACATGTTCACATGCTTGTTCTCATTAGCCCTTCACGGGAAAGGGGAAATCACGAGACAACAGTAATCCAACAAAAATTGTTTTTCACTCAAATTATTGCAACTGACGTTCGAGGTTATTATTCTTTGAGTAAATGCTAAGATATTTAGCATCAATCAATGGATTAGATATTTTACACTCAAATTTCTTTAAAGCAACTATTGTCTCTAACATTTAAGTACGACATAGAATAAAAGGTCATATGACCCAAATTTTAGAAACATTACACGAGTGAAGACAGCGAAAGTTTTCTCAAAATAACAAGTACCCAAAGGCAAAGACGCAACACAAGACAAATAGACTAAAGAAAACAGTGCAGTGAATATCAAATGCAATGAAAACACATACATTTCCTGTGGTGATATTCACAATATGGACAGATCCATCCTTAGAACCAGAAAGAGCAAGAGTTGAAGTTGAATTTATTGTCAAGCATGTTAATCCCTCAGTATGATATGGATGACCTAGAAAGCAAACTCAAGCACGTTGTCAAAAGCAAAAAGAAGACAAAAAAAAAAGAAAAAAAAATCTGCAGATGGAAGTAGGATTATTCGACATCAATTTTTTGTGAAACTATCATATGACATGATATACATCAAGTTTCACCTCATGAATGTTGTCCCTACTTGAAATGAGAAAAGAGATAAAAGATACCCGAGAAAATGCTTCAAATTGATTTTAAAATTGCTCAAACTACATCCCATCCCTTTTAATATCAGAAAATTCCAGAATATGTTTTGCAAATTACTATGGAGAATAGTAAGACCACAGCACATTTAGATTGGAGGCATGAATAATTAACAAAATGCATTACTGAGTAATAGAAAACAAACACAATAAGCACACACTTGACAAGCAATTCACATACCCTGCACAACATGAATGCTTTCTCCACTTCTAGGATTCCATACTCTCAAGGTTGCATCGTCAGAACCAGTACATATTAATTTCCCTTAGGCACCAAGTAAAAAGAAATTGAAGAGTGTAAAAATATATACCAGAAATAACAACATTTAACAAAAGATGCACCAAGATGAAGAGAAATTACTACCATCGGGAGTAAAATCACCACACGTTACACTATTGCCATGACCAATAAATGTATTAAGAAAGGCAGCCGTATCAGTATTCCACATCCAAATACTGAAATCGTCAGAACCAGCTAAGAGTAGGTGTCCTCTTGGATGCCACCTGAGCCACTGAAAGATTTCATGGCATCAAATTCAGCAACTATTTACAACAGAAAAAGGAAGAAAACTAAGGTTGAGTTTGGTTTGGTTCGGTTTTTGTTTCCAGTCCATGTTGATATTTTCTTTCAGTAATAAGTAATAACTACAAAAATAACACCATGTCTTCTTTAACAATCTCACCTCAATGCTCCCTCCAGGACCTTCCAGATTTATACCTTCAAAATTTCTAGATACATCCCATACTTTAATAGTTCCATCTAAGCTTCCTGATGCTAAACGCTGTCCATCATAGCTAAAAGCTAAACTGGATACAGAGTCTTCATGACCTGCACAAAATTAATAACAAACTCATTTGGACATTCAATGAATTGCCAATAATGTGATATTGACTATACCAATTATTATGTGACACTTATCCTAAATGGAAAAATATCCATCCATCGGTAACTCTAGTGTCAGGTAAGCACCTTGAAGCTCAAAAGCCCAATCCCCTTGACCAATCTTCCAGAGAAATCCTTTGTCATCACCGCCCCCAGTAGCCACCAGAGCCACATCTGTTGGGCTGCAGGCAACTGAGTACAATTCCCCTATACAAGAATTCATGAAAATATCATAAATTCCCTGGTAAAACCTTTCATACACGTGATATATGACTTTAAAATTTGAAAAAAGGAACAGAAAAAGGCTCGGCAACATCAGGATGGCTAAGCAGAACCGTAGACAAAAAGGTAGAAATCTTACCGGTATGGGCAGTGAATTTGTGCACAAAATCACCATCATCCTCATCCTCTGAAATGATTTAAAATAACATCACTACCAAATATATTAACACTCTGAAAAACAATTCCTCTCAATTCTAAGTTCTAGCATTAATGAAAGGATAATAGAGAAATCATACACAAGACAGGTCATATAGAAACACATTGAAATAACTGTTTAGAAGCATTTACAGCAAGTTCATACCGAGTTCAGAATCATCATCAGCTTCAGGAAGATCTTCATTATCCATGGCAACTTCATGGACGATGTCAGACGCATCAAGGAAAACTTCACCGTTATCGTCTTCATCATCATGAAGAGGTTGAGTGCTCATTGTGTTGGCTAAACTATCAATAAAACGTTTTCAACTCTCCAAAACCTGAAATAAATTCATGCAATAACTCTCAACTTCCAATTGCTTATTTCTTCATCCAACCAAATATTTTATATCACTGTTTTTTTTGCTACCTATAGGATGTGAAAAAACCTTTAAACTCATGAATAATAAACACAATAGTGGAAAATAATGATATGAAAACCGAAAAAAGAAGCCACAGGTAACTGTTGAATTTTAGAAGCTGGAATAGTGTGATGAAGAATATTGAAATTTGGAACAGAGAGAAAAGAAGGTAAAGACAAATTACCGGAAGAAAAGGAATGAAGACGAGACGACCTTTGGTTTTGCGCGCTGCTATTTGCTTCTCTCAGTTCATGTTCGTCTCTTACATTCAGCTCCAATGGAGGATGCCAAATACAACACTTGAAAACGGGTTACGGGGCTGGCCCATCATTCTCACATTTGGGCCTAACCTAAAAGGATAAGCATCATATATATACACCTCCTTTTCTTATAAGTACACCTCTTTTTAAAAATAAAAAAAATTAAAATTTTAAAATATTTTTAATTTTTTTTTTTTTTTAATTTTACTTTTAATTTAACACTTTTTTTTATATACCTCTT